AGTAAAAATGACAATTCTTTGTGACAGAAAGTCTCTCCCCTCCTAGTATGTTCCCCTCATCTGGCGCTTAGCACTCCCACCCTCTGTCAAACCAGGGGATGAAAGGAGGAGCAGGATGGGGATGTAGCTCCGGGCAGAGTGCTTCCCCAGCATGCAAAAGGCTCAGGGCACAGGGCTCTTTTGTTTCTTAACAGCGCTCATCTTATAGCTCAGCCTCCAATAGTTCATACCCAGTTTTTAAAATCTAACGATTATCCCTTTCAGTTTTACAAGAAAATAGTTGGAAATTGAAGAAAATAGGACTAGATATGAAAAATGGTATGAGTGTCCAGAGAAGTGAAAGACCTAAGGAAGGCAGAGACTGCCATGGTGCCCTGTGTCTAACTGCCACTTCTGTCACTTGCCAGCCTGGGTGCCTGAGACACACGCACACTTAGCTCAGGCTATACCTGAAGAACCACTTAGGGCTGGAAACTGGGCCTGTGATACAAGTCCCAGATCATGCTATGCACATCCAAGTTTGGATACCTCTGCTTTGGTATCAAGGAAGCCCTCCATAGACTCTAAAGGGGGCAACCATGGTATTCTGTTTGGACGGCTAAACCAGAAGGAGGAAAAAAACCTTGAAGTTTCAAAGTGATCTCTCCACCCCCATCAGAAAAAACATGTGCTCTGGCAGCACCGCAAACACGCCGGGAAAACAGCAGAGAAGGTGACTCCTACACAGCAGAGCTGTTCAGGAAGAACCGCGCCGCTGGCAGTGATCAGTCTTAATAATTCAGCCTAATATGTTTCGGAGAGAAGACAAGAACAGATTAAAGAGAAGCTCACAAAGGACAGAATGACAAACAAGGTGTCTGAAAGTACCAAACATGCTTTTAATTGGACCTTTCATTTTTCCTAACACGCTTTATCTTTGCAGCAGGATACTCACACTGTTGATACATACTTTACAAACTCAAATTACTCAAGAGGCTCTGGCATTTAGGAGACTGATTGCCAGGTCATGGGTCTGTGGACCTGAAACCCCCAGATTTAGGATCACTGGGAAAAGCAGTTGCTTTCAACAGGAAAGTATGAATTTTGACCCCAGAGAACATGTGGCAATTTATCAATAAATATATTTATTATATATGAAAATTAAATGCCACCCTTCTTTGAACACTGATCTGGCATGACTCTTTCTATTACTAATAATATATTTTAGTCAACTATGAATTATTCAACAATAATGCATATACATACTTCATGAGATCTGAGTATCAAGTGAAGTGTAGGAACTAAGAAGTTGGACAGTGCCATGGCGTCATGTATCTAAGTGCCATTTATATCACTTGCTGGCCAGTGACCTCGGTGCCTGAGACAGACAGACAGACAGACAGACAGACAGACAGACACACACACACACACACACACACACACACACACACACACACTTCCCTGTTCCGTCTGGATCTGAAGCAAATCCAATGCAAGTTGAAAAAATAGACCAATGTAATAATTCTTGAAACCATGTGTCCTGTCTTCTCATTAATGGTCCTCTTTTTTTATAACTGTTGCAGTATCTGTGCCCATTCCCTTCCTCTCCATCCTCACCACCTTTCAGTCCCTTGTCAAAGAAGACCAGCATGGATCCTGTTCCCATCATTCCACTCAAAATGTCCCCCGTTGATACCAATGACTTTCTGCCACAAGTTATTTTTTGTCTTAATTTTACCTGATCTTGCCCCTGCTTTTCTTAACATAGACATTTCATCTTTGGTTAGTTCTACCTAAATAAGTTTATAGGAATTGGTTCTCAAGTGCCTTAGTCTGCTTTAGAGCCCTGGGCACTGCAATGTCAGATACAGAAAAGGAAAGCATCAAAGAAAGGACTTTGAAAAGAAGCAACATTCGGAGAAGCAGGAGATGGGCAGCAAGTTCCCCCAGGCCGGGTCAGAAAACACAGGCCCCAGCTGTCCAAACCAGGTGACAGCCCTTCTTCCCATGTCAACAGGCACTGAACTGTCCAATCCTATGGTCACGATTTCTCCAGGGCTTCTACTTCTATTCATTCCCGCTACAGCTACACTCTCTTCTGGATTACTAAAGTTCCTTTATGGGCCTTTCTGCTTCCAGCAGAATCTTCTTTAACACAGCCATCATATTATAACAAGAATTAAATGATAAATTTGATCACATTCCTCTCCTCCTTAAAGCTATCATCACAAGGACAGTAAGGAGCTAGTACAGCATCCAAAATCCTACACATGACAAACAGGCAATGGTTTAAAAGTCTCCTCCAACACACACAGAAGTGTAATTTTCACTGTGATCATATGGAGTTGGGGGCATGAACAGGTGACTAGGTCTCAAGAGTTTCGTGTTCATGACTGGACTGAGGCTCTTTTCTCGTGAGTGGAGGGATGGCTGGTATAAATCAGAGTTTGACAACCTCAACTTCCTCGTTCTCACGCCCTTTGTCCCTGACATGCTCCTTTACCCTGTGATACTCTTCACAATATTATGACACAGAAGCAAGAACGCTACCTGACATTACAAGGAATCTCTCTCTCTCTCTCTCTCTCTCTCTCTCTCTCTCTCTCTCTCTCACACACACACACACATACCTAGTTTGTGATAGTGTTACAGCACAACTGGTTAAGACAAAGCTCTTTCATGATTTGGCTCTGGCTTTACCTCCTCAGAGTATACACATCCTCCTTTCTCTCAAGACTGCTCAGGCCACAATTAGCAACTTGGATAGGACACCGCTCCTGCGTCCCTCCGCTCGTCCCTCTGGGCCTTTGCTCCTCTGTTAGAACATCCTATTACCTCCATAATACCTCATCTAATTACTTTTCTTCCTTTAAACTTTGTATTAGCCAGCTTCAAGGCCTGAAAACCATGTCATTGACCAGCACAGCAAACGACATTGGTGCATAGTGGCACTTTTATCTTGGGAGTAATCAACAGCTACCTAATTGGACTTAAAGCCCACTCAATGGGAGGAAACTCGTGTGTTACTGTAAACCTACCAAAATACATATAGCTGGAGAGGTCATAGATCTTAGTGAAATCTCCAAGGCTGTCATATCCCTAGACAAATGTAATTTCTTAGTATGTGCAAAATATGGATCCTTAAATTTATAAACAAGTATCCTAGTCACCATCCATCAGAAAAGATTCTTTTTCAAGAGACAGAGATAATTACAGAGTTCCACAGCTGGTCACACACAGAGATTGTCTGTGAATTGTTCAAGCCTAAGTGGAACATCTAGGATGAAACCTCTACATCTAAGGCTCATGGAGCATTGAATGAGGGATGAAGAGAACACTAACGCATCTTCAACTCTCATCAATGAAGCTCCCTCATGCAACAGAGGGCCAGGAACACAAAAGGTCACAAACGGCCAAAACACAGAGAATAAGTCTGCAGAGTATGGGTCCTTGGACAAGACTCCTATATTAAGGTCTACCCACCCAGGGCTCAGGGGCCATTGGGGAAGAGAGGGCAGAAGGATTTTAAGAGCCAGGGAGGAAGCACAGGACCATATGGAAATAGTCCTACAGGCACCTAGGATCCTTCTCATACAAACCTACAGCAATGGTGTCACTCAATGGGGGGAAACTCATGTGTGGTACTGTAAACCTACCAAAATACACATAGCTGGAGAAGTCCTAGATCTTAGAGAAAATGGTGTCAGCATGCACAAGACCCGTGCAAACTTAAGCAGATAAAAACCCAGCAGAGAACTGTGGAAATGAACAGCAGGCCCCAATCTTAGTTGAAGAAGTTTTGGCAGCTGGTTACTGCTGGGTGAGGAAGAGCTGATCTTCTTAAAGGGAGGGACTTTAGATAGGCTGACTAAATCTCAGGGGATGAACTTGCACTGAGGGACATCTGGGGACACTAACTTTACATGCTAGGCCTTAACACAAATGACAGAATGCATGAACTCCAGTGGGGGTCTACGGGGCGGTACCAAAGGAGAAGCGGGTATAAAGTTGATTTTATGTATGAAATACACAAAAATTCAATTAAAAAAATCCTTTGTACATGCTCTTATACTTCCTCTTTCACCACGACATCTGCTTCTCGTAGGTCTATCAAATGTGCTACCAGTACTTGCTACTCCAGGCCGAAATCTGGTTGATTAGCCAGATGAAACTATTTCTACTGGAAGAAATAAGAATTTCGTTACAATTTCAAAGCAACTTCTGAAGTCCTTAACTCATCAACGGCAACGGGGTCTTTCAGACAAGTTTAGCATTGGCAGAGCCTTAGAAAACAGCTTTGGGTAGAAAAGGCTGTGATAATCCAGAAATATTAATTTGATAACAAGACAGAAGGTTAAACAATCGAGTGTGGAATAGAGTTCTAGGGCTTTGCCTTGATTAGTTTAGAAAACCCAAATGTTTTCATCAGTCTTCACTGAGGGCATGGAAACCCAAACTGAAATTATCTTAGAATTTCACTGTACTATGAGAAGAGAGTCCTTGGGAATATTTTTATATTGCTGGCATCAACTATGGCAAACCCTCAACAAAAGTAAACTAATGAACGAAGGAGTAAAACGCTTGTCACGAACCCAGGATATCACCCTAATCATAGCCAGTTAACAGAAAATTATGATATAAAAAAGAGCAGGCCAATGTAGAGTATGGTGGCATGAGCCTTTAATCCCAGCCCTTGGGAGGCAGAGGCAGGTGGATCTCTGCTAGACCGAGGCCACCCTGGTTCACAACATGACTTCCAGGCAGTCTGTGACTAGGGAGACCCTGTCAAAAATCAACAACAACAAAAAACCAAAAAAAAAAAAAAAAAAAAAAAAAAAGACCAGGCAAGTGTGTCTAAATTATAAAGCACAACATGTGCATTCTGCCCCATTTATGCCTTTACAGGGGAAGGATGTCTTCCCCCCAATGTGCAGAACTTTAAAATATTAATAGTTAATGAATAACTAATAGTTTTACAAAGCATGTTTTCTTATGTGCAAAGCACTATCAGATTGGCTTACCTGAGATAATTTTGTTGTTGTGGCAGGTAGAAGTGGGCGGCTAAACTTCTTCTGAGAGCCAATGGCTGCGGGGAACGGTGGTGCGGAAAATACAGCTGCCACACAGTTGATTTTGTTTATCCATCCTTGCATTTCCTCCGGACTCCTACGAGACACAGAGACGTTCTCATTAGGACAGTTCTCTAAGTGTAACACACTTTGTCTTCTACTTATTACAGATTTAAAATGGCGCATAAAAATGATTTATTCTCAGTGAAATTACTGGAGATTAATATTCTCAGCAGTGCAGTGCTCACTATGGGAGTGAAAGGCTAGGAAGCTACGGTCATCACAATGCAAGACCGTGGTTCTCTCTAAAACACAGAAAGAGAAAATGAGAAATGTGGTTGCAAAATCTCTGATTTGTGCTTGAAGTTGGCAATGCCAAAATTAAAATGAACTCATTTCTTTAAAAATCATTTTATTATTATTTTTAAATTTTATGTGTATGAGTGTATTGTCTGCATGTGTATACGTGCACCTGTGTCGTGCAATGCCTGTGGACTTCAGAAGAGGGCATCAGATTCCCCTTGAACTGGAGTTATAAACGGTTGTTAGCCTCCAGGTGGATGCTGGGAATTAAACCAGGGTCCTCTGCAAGAGCAGCCATTGCTCTTAACTGCTGATCATCACTCCAGCCCCTAACTCATCTCTTTTAACCATATAATTTTATTTTAAAATCTGAGGCATAGAAGGAATGTAAAAGAGTATTCTTACTGGGAAAAAGAACTGGATAGTTTGCTCAAATGTTAACTATACATCTACAACACAACTCAGGGACTTTACTCTTAGGTAGGTACTCAGGAAAACTGAGAACACTCCTACCCAGAGATCTGTATGTCAGTGTTTATGGTACCATTCTTTCTTTCCTTTTAAAACAACTATTATTAGCGTGTGCGCATGTGTGGGGGTACGTGTGTGTGATGTTTGTGCACACTTGCCAGAGAATGGGTATAGAAGTTAGAGGACAGATTCTGAGAGCTCGTTTTCTCCTTCCATCTTTACATGGGGAGGGACAGAAGAGGAGGAAGAAAGCAAAGATAAACAAGAGCCAAACCAAGAAAACATACTGGGTTTGAAAAAGCAAGACTCTCCAGTCGGCAGTCTTTAGTTTAAACACGTTTGGCTTCTTCTCGTAGTCCGTGGCCTTGGATGCCAGTGCGTGGTGCACGCTCACTGCGTTCTTCAAGTCGTCCTCTGACAAGGCTTTCTCTGGCTTGTATTCATCCTACAGATGGGTACAGAGGAAACAAATGCAAGAGCATGATCTCACTTTACATTTTCTTTCAGAACCTACAATTAAAGGCAAATATTTTAGAAAATCTATGAATATACACAGAAAAAGTAAAATGGAGAGTAAAAACTTTTTGTAACTTTACAAATGTCATAGACTACCACATTTTTGAAAACACTGCTTGAGAATGGGACAATACATATACAGAAAAGGCATTAGAAAAATAAAGCCAATATATCATAAGGTCAGACAGAAACGCACATCCCAGGAACTTGTCACATGGTTAGGACCAACAGGTGGTATGATCTGGTTTCAGGATTAAATGGGTACATGCAAAAGCTTGCAGACACCTATTAAGAGATCTGTACTGATACTGGGGACACCATCATTGGATCCTTGGTCTGAAGATGCTACATTTTCATGATGATATTTTTAAGGTGGTTAATATTATCAAAAGGAAAATGGACAGTAAAACAAGATGATTTCTCTATCTCTTCTGGTGAAAGAAATGAGGAAAATCAACTTAATAAGGTAAAGATTATATTTGTTTTTAAAAATAAAGTAACTAAGAAGGAAGGTGTCCAGTGTATATTATTTTTGGATATCTACTGCATAATTCAGAGTTAAAACTTTTTCATTTGTATGGCTTTAAACCTGACAAGAAAACTAAAAATCTTCACCAGTACAATAATGATTAGAATATAAAATAATGTTTTTAATTATTACTAGTAGTTACAGGGTTCATTGGAATAACAACCTAAAACCAATGAAAGCATACTACTTGTATACTGTTTGTAATACACCTTGTTACAGTGGATGTTTTCTAGAGTTTAGATTCCTTTACGAATTTATAAAATCAAGATGTTAAACATCTTTCTCCTGTAAATATTATATAATGCACCCACAGCCACACATACACGTGTGTGGGCCCATACCCCTTCCCCAACTTATCACTTTCTAATTCATAGTGAAAGAGATGTTTGTTCTCTTAATACAGTCTGGCTTTTCTCATTTTTAGAAAAACAATTACTATTCCCCCCTGCATATTGCTCCTGTTTTCCACAAATACTGCTCACAAATTAAACAATTCAAATGTGTTCATGTTTAGCACTTATTCAAACTGAAAACCAAAACCCAGACAGGCTGTCTGCTGATATTTAATGATTACTAGCAGCATCAGGCCGAGACAAACGTTTTTCCTTTAAAACATGAAATACTAACAGTTATGCAAAGATTTCCCACATTTATAACAATTCCCAACATTTCTACAGTGGAATTGCATGACTTCTGATTTACTAAGTCTCAGAGATTGTGAACTGTTGTGGACAAAGTCCCATGGAAAGGTCGGATGAACAAAGGACAATGAAAAGAACATTAAAAGTAAATCTCATATATTCAATGTATCTGTTCTTATGTGATTTCTGTCTATCCACATAACTATATTCTAGTTCTGCTTTGAGATTTTTCTTCTTTTTGAAAGAGACTCAATGATTTAGCATTCTAAAGAGTTATGACTCTCTTTACGAGAGAATTTTTTGGATGAAGTTTTCAAGTAGAGGTGGCCTGCTTTTTAAAAAAATCCCTTCTGCCCTCAAGATTACTCTATAACACAACCTTGTATGTATGGCTGTGATAGTTACTGTCAACTTGACACAAGCCAGAGACACTTGGGAAGAGGGAACCTCAACTGTGGAATTTTCCCCATCAGACTGATCTATAGCCATGTCTGTGAGGCATTTCCTTAATTGCTAATTGACATAGGAAGGCCCAGCCAGCTGTGGATAGTGCCATCCCTGAGCAGGTGGGTCTTGGCTATATAAGAGGGCTGTCTGAGCAGGCCAGGGGGACGCAAGCCAGTAAGCGTAAGCACTGTTACAATATGCTCCCTGCTTCAGTTCCTGCCTTGCTTTCCTTGACAATGGCCTGTGACTTAGGATTCGTAAGAGATGAATAAACTCCTTCCTCCACAAGTCAGTTTTGGTCAGTGTTTTATCATAGCTATAGAGAAGGAAACTAGAATAACAGCCCTCTGTCCAGGGTAATCTCTTAGCTTCTAGATAGGAATGAGAGAGAGAGGGAGAGAGAGAGAGAGAGAGAGAGAGAGAGAGAGAGAGAGAGAGAGAGAGAGCCCAAAGAAGGGGTGGGAGGAGGAGGAAGATAT